TGTCATTGTCGGTTTCCAAACAGCCAGAAAGAACGAAGCCACAAAGAATGCCAGTGTATTTGATCATTGCAATATTCGAGAGATCAAATTATTCTTAAATTCACAAAGCTATCCCTATGGAAATCTGAATCTAGACATTGCACACAACCAATCAGCTCTACTTTATGACATGTACACCAACTTCCAAACGTCTTATTATCACAAGGAGCCCGAGCCGCTATTCGACAGAAAAAAATTCTTGGAAGCTGCACCACTCATCGTCATCGATTGCTCCAAACAGAACGAGTTCTTGAAATCTGGACCGGTTGATATTCGCCTGGAGTTTGAGTCACCAGAAATCTTCCCCAACAACACTCATGAAGAAACTCATATAATTTAATCAAGATTTTTTCAAACATATCAATGTAATCTTTCATGAGATTTTTTTTTAAAGGAATCAATGTAATCTTCATAAATAAACAACAATTATTGGAGAATGGATTTTTTATTTATCATCACCAGTATTATTATTATTAGGACATTTTGCTTTCAAAGTATTGAACATTATATTCACTCCGAGTTTTAATTCATTGAGGATGCCCAGCATTGGTGTAGCTGGAGTGTCCTCCGTGAGGTCTGGTCCTCTCTTCCTCTTCAATCCGCTGCCGGTTGATGGCTCGCACCAGGAGCTAGCCCATCGGTCTCCAACAAAATCGTCGCTCACTCGTTGAATTAAATCTTCAATGCAATTCAGAATAACTTCCAGCTTCTTTGAAATAACAGCAGACATCGGCAGTGAAGAATCAGCAGAAATTTCTTCTTCATTCCTCTTCCTCAAATCGACGTAATTTCTCTCCAAGAGAAGAATGTCATCAATTAAGGACCAAACACGCTCCGGCGGATCATCCCCGAAATGTTTCTCTACAACTTCCTCGAACCCGAACAAGTACGGGGCAGTTCTGATCAGAAAGTGGATATCGTCTATCGAGAGTTTCTCCATGATTTCAACTGATGCATCCCTTGTGAAATGAACTACTTATACCCTCCGACCCCCCACTCTTCAACTCTGCACCACAATTCAAATGGAAATTCAGTTTGTGAAAATAATAAATAATTTCTCGGAAACACCGGTAACCGAAAAATTCTTCTTGGAAAAATATTCATAACCGTCAAAGTCGGATGAATCCTCTTGCATTTGAATCGGAGACATCCACTTTAACTTTATTCCAATCATACACCACTCTCAGCTGATCAGATCGCCGAACTTTTAAATATCTCCCTATAAACACCAGTTGCACCATACGAGGTCCAACCAGACTGCTCTTGTTTAGACAACGCGTACGTGATTAAATGCGCGACTTTGACACCCACCGTAAGACGCAACCATCGAATATCCGCCGTGAGATCACAGCCTTACCCCATGCCTCATCTCGGTCCAGCGACACCATTCTCGTTGAGTCAACGCCCCCCCCCCTCCCCACTCGCCGAGCGGCAGCATTGTTCCCAAAAGCCTTTGCTCGGTCCAGCGAGATTATTTTGCAGTCGACACTGCTTCAAGAAGTGTTGGATACCCGCCATATGACGTAACCATGAGATACCCCCCCCCCATCCACCACCCGCTGCAAGAGACATGATCAGACTTCCCATCTGACCCGTCATGACCACCGCGCCATCTAACGGCCCGATTCCGAAGTAATATCCAGGATCGGCTCTGTTTGGCTACTAGTGGGGTGTGTGTGTTGAGAATTCGCAATCGAAAAAATTGAGTCGGTCTTTTTTACAAAAATATGTCCTAAACTAAGAGAGATAGCGATTTTTTACCAAAATTTGGAGGGAGGGGTTGTGTATTGAGAATTCACAACGAAAAAAATTAAGTCGGAGATTTTTTTGAAAATATCTCCGAAACTGAGGGAGATAGCGATTTCTTATGAAAATTTGGCGAGGAGGAGGGAGATGTGTATTGAAAATGCACAACCAAAAAAATTGAGCCGCTGAGTTTTTCAAGAATATCTCGGAAACTAAGGGAAATAGCGATTTTTTACGAAAATTTGGGAGGGGGAAGAGTGTATTGAGAATTCGCAACCAAAAAAATTGAGTCGGTCATTTTTTCAAAAATATCTTCGAAACTTAGGGAGATGGCGAATTTTTATTAAAAAATTAGGTGGTTAGGGGGAGGCATGCTGTATTGAATTCTGGATGTCTAACACACGCCCTCCCCCCTAATTTTTGAATAAAAATTGTTTCCACTTTTGCAGTAAAAATTGTTATATACAAAATTCTTCAGAAATTTTATGTCGTTTCGTGACACTAAATTCACTCAATTCACGAAGTTTTACTGTTGCTCACCGGATGTTCTTTACAATCCTGCAAATTCCACGTACACGGCCCACACCTATGGGCACGTGTGCCCAGGAGATGCTAAGACTAAGCAGTCTTAGCATTTTCTGGACACTTCAACGCGTCTAGAGGCAAATTTCTAACTAGCAGTCACGCCTGAGGAGCCATGGCGAGCCTTTCCCCGCTTGAATCCTGTATTTTACCCTTGGTGTCAATAAAACTAGCCAACGCCGGAATCCATCCGATGATATTGAGAGGCTTTTGGACCGGTAGACCGAGCTAATAGTGTGCGATTCTATTCGGTACTATACAGTATTTTCGTGAACAATCACGCACATCTTCGTGGTTCGTGTATGTGAAGTGAACGCGGACTCAAAGAGTGGAATTTCGAAATACAAATCCTTAATTAATAAATTTGAACTGTTTATCTGTGAACTGGATTAGTTGGAAAGTTGTATTCAAACTCAAATTGGATACACCGGACCCTGGCTAAACCGTGGATTACGGGTTGGAAAATCTTGGAACCTCGAATTCAACCAAAATCGTGTAATTAAAGAAATACTAAAAAATTGTATGGCTGAGCACACTAAAACTCTGTATCCTAAATTCGTTTCCTTCCGTTGAAATCATCTATTTCTCCGTTTATCTCGTACGAGGGCGACATTCTCTCTCTCTCCCCAAAAATTTATCATAGTTAAAATCCAATTATATTCTCTAAATTTTATTAAATTTATACCTAACGAATTAGCCAAACCATAGGATTTCGAATTTTATTTTATCTCATTGTATAGATTGAATCATGAGATTCGATTCCCGCCGATTATCAATCAGTGTAGCCCTTAACTAAATTTCAATTGAATAAATCTGGACTATAGTAAATTCTAATTCGGTTCCTCCCTCATTTAAATATCACTCGTCCCGAAAATTATTTCCAGTTACCACTGTAGGAGATGCAAGTGCTTCAAGGTTAGAGTCGGATAAATTAGGTGGGTAATGATTTCTATGCATGTACGTAAGTCATAGGAATTAAAATCCACAAACTCCAGTAAAACAGACTCACGTCTGTCTCTCACAAAATTCACTATCTCCCTTAGTTTTGGAGATATTTTCGAAAAACTCACCGACTCAATTCTTTTGGTTGTGAATTCTCAATTCACAACCTCTCCCGCTCCTCCTTTGCAAAATCCTCCCTCCATACATCTGAAATTCACGATATTTGGGCTTCCCACGCTATGTATGGAGCGCTTACACCCTTTAAGGTGAAACGGACCCCTGCGTTTAAATGAATCTTTAGAATTGTGTTTTTTCCTGCAATTGTTATTTTTTATTCACTAAACTACTTCATTGACTCAACAATGCGATAATCGAGTCAATAAAGTAATTTTATAGATAGAAATTAATAATTGTAGGAGAAAACACATTTCTAAGATTTGATGTAGACAAGGGGGTTCCGTCTCCCCTTAAATATCTCGGCCGCAATTTTTTAGTTCAATTTGAAAATTTTCTAAAATTAAAAAAAATTCAGAATTAGTTTGAGAAAATATTGGTTCTTAAAAACAATGGCCAAATTGGTTGACTTTTATGATCCCACCAAGGATGAAGCTTAAGAACAGGAGTTTTTAACATCTAGAAACTAGTTTCCAAACCTAATCCACTTTTTTTCTCTGTTTTTTTTCTAAATGGGAATCCATAAGTGATGATGGTTTGAAAAATAATTTATGAGAGAACCAAGTAAATTTTGGTGATTTGTTCAAGAGATATGGAGCATAGGAGGTTTGTGAGAATACAAAAAAAATGTGAATTCAGTAGCGAAGCGGTAATCCGCGTTAAGTCGATTTTGACTACTGGTCAGGTTTTGACAAATATCTCAGAATCTAAAAGAGACAGAAAAATTTTTGTCATAACCTTTTTTGTAGACCCCATTGAGGGTTATAAATAAAGTCGTGAGAAAAAATTATCGATCTCTCTTAGATTCCGAGATATTTATCAAAAACTGGCCAAAAGTCAAAATCGATTTAACCCGGTTCACCACTTCGCTATTGAATGTACTCGATATCTTGAAAGGTAAACAAGCGAGTGTATATATGTCGGTAATTTAACCGTTGCCAAAAGGCAATGGCTAAGGAACTCCAAGGATATTTATATTTTGTGCTTGGAGCAAAGTAAATCCAAATAATGTTGTATATTATTATTATTTTTTTTTTTTACGGCCTCGGAGTCTCTTTTTGGGTTCCATTCGGCACTCTATCCAACCCTATGCATGCGGCTGTGGATTCTACACTGTACCGCATTCGCACTCCTGTAGAACATAGAAGTAGCATGGGGAAACCACAGAAAACCCATGCCGGTACAGGCGGTTCCTCTATCAGCAACCTCCCGCTCGCCGGGGCCTTCCGTTGAAAAATTCGCTTCCACGGGAAATCGAACACACAACCTTTCGCACACTAGCCTTGCGTCTAATCCACTCGGCCACCGACGTCGGTGTGTTGTATATTATCTAGAGTCTTTCCTTGTGACGTGCGTCACTCGGTTTGGAAAAATGATTGAAATTGCCCAAAAATAAAAAATAATTTTTTTTTTTAAATCGGCCAAGTGCGCCTTTGTAAGCATTGTATTTTTTCAAAAAAAAATTATATTGTTTGTCAGCACAAAAATTTTTCAAAAAAAATTGTATTGTTTCTCACAAAAAAAATTGAAGAAATGCCGAGTAACCATTTCAATGCGTCGTTGTGGAAAAATTCCCGAGTACTTATTTATGTATAATTGTTTCTGGGAAATTGAAACAAGCAGTATGACGGAAGCTATTTGACAGATCACTCATGACTGTCACTTTTTGTGTAAATTTTTTTTCTTCAATTTTAGTTTCTACCAATTCCATTGGTAGTATGCTTCCGAATCGAACTCGATGCATGTTTCTTAGAAATAAAAACTTATTGGTTGGTATTTTTGAAAATGTTCTGGTCAACAATACTCAAATTTCATTACCTTTTGATGTACCATAGACTCTGCCCCTTTTACGTATGTACATTTTTTCTTCCACCCATTAAAATAGAGAAGCAGGAA